AATACATTAGAAATAGACTCTACAAAGCCATTTCTAGTCTTGATATCTACGGTTCCTTTCCCCATCACTTGGAGAGATGAATTGTTGCCAAGAGAGACCGTAGTATGAAAATTTTCATCTAAAGTTGAGAAGAGTTCCTTACAACCTGTCATATGATTGCTGCATCCAGAGTCTACGACCCATACACCTTGATCTGCAACCTTCATAGCATGGAATGACATTAATAATGTTTCTTCTTCTCTTCTCTCCATAAAATTGGATTGATTTCTTTTCTCCTTTTGGAGCCTGGTATAGCATTCATTTTTGTAATGTCCAAGGCGTCCACATCTGTAACATTTCACCTTAGACTTGTCAAAGTGTCTCTTGCCTTTGTTGTCATAATCGTTTCTGACTAGGTCTGCTGACCTGCCAACATCTCCACTTCTTTCTCGACTGCCTCTCTCAGGACCTCTGCCTCTTCTTTGCCCTCTACCTCTAGAGCTTGAAGTTTCACTTGGTGTGGATATCTTTAAGACTGTCATCTCCTCTATTGCACTTGTACGATTGAGCCTCTGCTCATGTACTAACAGGGAGCTTTGGAGTTCATCTATTTGCATTTCCTCGACATTGTTTGCTTCTTCGATAGAACATACAATGTAATCGAACTTTGGTGTTAGTGATCGCAAAATCTTTTCTACGACCGCAACATCTGTGATTGAACCACCATGCATCCTCATTTTACTTGCAAGACTTATAACCTTGCCAATATAATCATTCACTGTTTCTCCCTTTTGCATTTGGAGAATTTCAAAGTCTCTCCTAACTGCCTGTAGTTGAGCACGTTTTACTCTCGTTGAGCCTTGATACTTCCTCCTCATAGAGTCCCAAATTTCTTTGGATGTCTTCTTCTGAAGCATTGTTTCCAAGATAGTCCTATCAATGGACTGAAATAAATAGTTCTTGACCTTCAGGTCCTTCAACTTCGATGCTGCCAACAGTTGCTGTCGATCAGCTGAGAGTACCTCGCCTTCATTTGGTTCTTCATAACCTGTTTCCACCATATCAAAGAACTCCTTTGATCTGAGAAAATTTTCCATCAACATCGCCCAATGATCATAGTGACCGTCGAACCTCGGGATGGCGGGCTGAACGTAGTTCTCAACTTGTTTTTCTGCTGCCATTTTTGCTGCTACAAGATTGCTCTGATACCAGTTGTTGGTGTGACAACAGAAAACTGAATTGAGATTGAGAGGAGTGATTTGAATGATGGGGAGGGAGGTCGGGGATTCCAGAGTGGGTTGAGATTTTCTAGGGTGATTCCGTAGTCTTGAGATTTTTGTGGATGAATTTGAATTTGAAACCAATTCAAATTCTATTCTATTATTAGCTATTATTAGTTTCAACAGGCTCGGTGGCAGAGGAACACTTCAACTTAAAACAATTATAAATGTATCAATTTTCGGTGGCTATAAAGGAGTATGAACTAAGTCGACTGTTGTGGATTGCAGAGCAAAGTCGCACTTCAACTTAAAGCAATTATAAATGTATCAATTGTCGGTGGCTATAAAGGAGTATGAACTAGGTCGACCGTTGTGGATTGCAGAGCAAAGTGTATAAAATTGTCGAAGAAAAAAATTGAAATCTTACAAAGTTACGACCCTATGTAAGAGACTGAATTAAATATATTATAGAACTTGCTTATAATATAATATAGCATGTTGCTACTCGAATTCAAATCGAGATGCTCTAGTACAGCTTCCTAAGGAGCGTGTCTATCGATTTCACTATAATAACTATTATTATTTAACTGATATTTTGTATCAATTTATTGATAAATTCATTGGTTATTGATAAATTCATTGTATCAAAAATATCTTTAATTAAAATAAATAATTAGAGAAAAAAAGGTAGGAAAATCATTCAAAACAATACAGAAATAATGAATTTGCCTACAAAATAGTTGTGTGGTTTACGTTTTTCTTTGTAAATAGCCAAAGAAACATCCATGCTTAACAATTACTATCAAGCTTGTGTGCTACTTGGGGCAATGTTTGGGGTTTGAGCAACGCTTCCAATTGGTGCAATGGTTGGGGTTTGAGCAACGCTGCTTCCATCCGATGCAGGCTCCGGGGTTTGAGCAACGCTGCTTCCAATTGGTGCAATGGTTGGGGTTTGAGCAACGCTGCTTCCATCCAACGAAGCCTCCGGGGTTTGAGCAATGCTGCTTCCATCCAACGAAGCCTCCGGGGTTTGAGCAATGCTGCTTCCATCCAACGAAGCCTCCGGGGTTTGAGCAATGCCGCTTCCATCCAACGAAGCCTCCGGGGTTTGAGCAATGCCGCTTCCATCCAACGAAGCCTCCGGGGTTTGAGCAATGCCGCTTCCATCCAACGAAGCCTCCGGGGTTTGAGCAATGCCGCTTCCATCCAACGAAGCCTCCGGGGTTTGAGCAATGCCGCTTCCATCCAACGAAGCCTCCGGGGTTTGAGCAATGCCGCTTCCATCCAACGAAGCCTCCGGGGTTTGAGCAATGCCGCTTCCATCCAACGAAGCCTCCGGGGTTTGAGCAATGCCGCTTCCATCCAACGAAGCCTCCGGGGTTTGAGCAATGCCGCTTCCATCCAACGAAGCCTCCGGGGTTTGAGCAATGCCGCTTCCATCCAACGAAGCCTCCGGGGTTTGAGCAATGCCGCTTCCATCCAACGAAGCCTCCGGGGTTTGAGCAATGCCGCTTCCATCCAACGAAGCCTCCGGGGTTTGAGCAATGCCGCTTCCATCCAACGAAGCCTCCGGGGTTTGAGCAATGCCGCTTCCATCCAACGAAGCCTCCGGGGTTTGAGCAATGCCGCTTCCATCCAACGAAGCCTCCGGGGTTTGAGCAATGCCGCTTCCATCCAACGAAGCCTCCGGGGTTTGAGCAATGCCGCTTCCATCCAACGAAGCCTCCGGGGTTTGAGCACTGCCGCTTCCATCCAACGAAGCCTCCGGGGTTTGAGCACTGCCGCTTCCATCCAATGAAGCCTCCGGGGTTTGAGCAATGCCGCTTCCATCCAACGAAGCCTCCGGGGTTTGAGCACTGCCGCTTCCATCCAACGAAGCCTCCGGGGTTTGAGCACTGCCGCTTCCATCCAACGAAGCCTCCGGGGTTTGAGCACTGCCGCTTCCATCCAACGAAGCCTCCGGGGTTTGAGCACTGCCGCTTCCATCCAACGAAGCCTCCGGGGTTTGAGCACTGCCGCTTCCATCCAACGAAGCCTCCGGGGTTTGAGCACTGCCGCTTCCATCCAACGAAGCCTCCGGGGTTTGAGCACTGCCGCTTCCATCCAACGAAGCCTCCGGGGTTTGAGCACTGCCGCTTCCATCCAACGAAGCCTCCGGGGTTTGAGCACTGCCGCTTCCATCCAACGAAGCCTCCGGGGTTTGAGCACTGCCGCTTCCATCCAACGAAGCCTCCGGGGTTTGAGCACTGCCGCTTCCATCCAATGAAGCCTTCGGGGTTTGAGCAATGCCGCTTCCATCCAATGAAGCCTCCGGGGTTTGAGCAATGCCGCTTCCATCCAATGAAGCCTCCGGGGTTTGAGCAATGTCGCTTCCATCCAATGAAGCCTCCGGGGTTTGAGCAATGTCACTTCCATCCAATGAAGCCTCCGGGGTTTGAGCAATGTCACTTCCATCCAATGAAGCCTCCGGGGTCTGAGCAATGCCAATTCCATCCAATGAAGCCTCCGGGGTTTGCGCAACGCCGCTAACATCCAATGAAGCCTCCGGGGTTTGCGCAACGCTGCTAACATCCAATGAAGCCTCTGGGGTTTGCGCGCTTCCATCCAATGAAGCCTCTGGGGTTTGGGCAAGGGTTTGAGCAACGCCGCTTCCATCCAATGAAGCCTCCGGGGTCTGAGCAACGCCGCTTCCATCCAATGAAGCCTCCGGGGTTTGAGCAACGCCGCTTCCATCCAATGAAGCCTCCAGGGTCTGAGCAACGTCGCTTCCATCCGATGCAGCCTCCGGCGGGGTTTGACCAACGCCGCTTCCATCCGATGCAGCCTCCGGCGGGGTTTGACCAACGCTGCTTCCATCCGATGCAGCCTCCGGCGGGGTTTGACCAACGCTGCTTCCATCCGATGCAGCCTCCGGCGGGGTTTGAGCAACGCTGCTTCCATCCGATGCAGCCTCCGGCGGGGTTTGACCAACGCTGCTTCCATCCGATGCAGCCTCCGGCGGGGTTTGAGCAACGCTGCTTCCATCCGATGCAGCCTCCGGTGGGGTTTGAGCAACGCTGCTTCCATCCGATGCAGCCTCCGGCGGGGTTTGTGCAACGCTGCTTCCATCCGATGCAGCCTCCGGCGGGGTTTGTGCAACGCTGCTTCCATCCGATGCAGCCTCCGGCGGGGTTAGTGCAACGCTGCTTCTATCCGATGCAGCCTCCGGCGGGGTTAGAGCAACGCTGCTTCCATCCGATGCAGCCTCCGGCGGGGTTAGAGCAACGCTGCTTCCATCCGATGCAGCCACTGGCGGGGTTAGTGCAACGCTGCTTCCATACGATGCAGCCTCCGGCTGGGTTTGAGCAACGTTGCTTCCATCCGATGAAGCCTGCGGGGTTTGAGCAACGCTGCTTCCATCAGATGCTGCAGATGCTGCCTCAGGTTGGGTGAGAGTGCTTCCATCCGATGCAGCCTCCGGCGGGGTTAGAGCAACGCTGCTTCCATCCGATGTAGCCTCCGGCGGGGTTAGAGCAACGCTGCTTCCATCCGATGCAGCCTCCGGCGGGGTTAGAGCAACGCTGCTTCCATCCGATGCAGCCTCCGGCGGGGTTAGAGCAACGCTGCTTCCATCCGATGCAACCTCTGGCGGGGTTAGAGCAACGCTGCTTCCATCCGATGCAGCCTCCGGGGTTAGAGCAATGCTTCCATCCGATGCAGCCTCCGGGGTTAGAGCAATGCTTCCATCCGATGCAGCCTCCGGGGTTAGAGCAATGCTTCCATCCGATGCAGCCTCCGGGGTTAGAGCAATGCTTCCATCTGATGCAGCCTCCGGGGTTAGAGCAATGCTTCCATCTAATGCAGCCTCCGGGGTTAGAGCAATGCTTCCATCTAATGCAGCCTCCGGGGTTAGAGCAATGCTTCCATCTAATGCAGCCTCCGGGGTTAAAGCAATGCTTCCATCTAATGCAGCCTCCGGGGTTAGAGCAATGCTTCCATCTAATGCAGCCTCCGGGGTTAGAGCAATGCTTCCATCTAATGCAGCCTCCGGGGTTAGAGCAATGCTTCCATCTAATGCAGCCTCCGGGGTTAGAGCAATGCTTCCATCTAATGCAGCCTCCGGGGTTAGAGCAATGCTTCCATCTAATGCAGCCTCCGGGGTTAGAGCAATGCTTCCATCTAATGCAGCCTCCGGGGTTAGAGCAATGCTTCCATCTAATGCAGCCTCCGGGGTTAGAGCAATGCTTCCATCTAATGCAGCCTCCGGGGTTAGAGCAATGCTTCCATCTAATGCAGCCTCCGGGGTTAGAGCAATGCTTCCATCTAATGCAGCCTCCGGGGTTAGAGCAATGCTTCCATCTAATGCAGCCTCCGGGGTTAGAGCAATGCTTCCATCTAATGCAGCCTCCGGGGTTAGAGCAATGCTTCCATCTAATGCAGCCTCCGGGGTTAGAGCAATGCTTCCATCTTGTGCTTGTGTGTCATGTGATGCAAAGGCACGAAATGAAAATTGATGATCGAGATTTACGACACCAGTGACATCACTAAAAGTGGCACCCACTTTTGCACAATACTGCCAAGAAATCACTAGGAAAAGGGTATGAAAGAGCTTGAAACCTTTGCCGATGGCCATTGTGGTTGTAAGGTTACAAGCTCGTTTCACAAATGATGAAGAGCAGCAATTGCTAAGATGTTGGTGCTTGGATTTTTCTTACAATGTGAAGCCCTATATATAGTTTGATGGGAAAACTATATCTAGAAAAGACCACCAAATTTAGAAAGGGTGTTAAATTTTGTGGGTTTGGGAGTATTCCAAGTATAGAATGTTTGACTATTCAATTTCTAATTTCTCCCTCCCTTCATTTGAGGATGATTAAGAATAATTATATTTTTAAAGTTCTTTGGTTCCAATTCTAAAGTTTCTTCTCAAAACTTAAGGCACAAGTCACAATGTGATATTTTTAAGCTCCATTTCAAGCACATAGTTCACAACTATAAACACTTTGTAATTACATGCATGAATCTTTAATAGTATACTAAATAAGCGGCCCACAGCATATCATGTCAATTAGGATATCATGTCAATTAGGAGTTCATAAAAATCATCAATGTTTATGAAAGATTCATTAGGGTTATTTTTCATAATTTTCTATCATAGTATTTTCTTATACCCAAACATGTTTTAATAAATTTGAAGTCATATATAATCGTCTACAATTTTATAAATGAGTCTCATATAAAATTTCATATCATTTCAAGTTCGTTAAATACTTAGAAACATCACGAGGTCCTACGTGTATTTTTGTCTCTTTCCACTCCAATCCTGGTTTAGGATTTAAACTTGATCCAATTACGATGAAATCTTACATAGTTTTGCATATCATTATAATTATCCATAATTTAGATTCTAAATGCATAAAAAATATGTTTCACCAGCCTTAAATGCATAAAAAAAGTATTTTTGTCATTATTCACCAGCCTTTGTTTGGGGCCTAAACATTCTCGGGTTACTTTGAAATATTTTTCAATAATTCTTAACCATAAAAATATGTTTCATTTAAGATCTTTTAAGTAATTTAACTTATATACTTAGGACGGACATTTTTGTAATTTTATCTCTTCTAATTTTTTTTGGCACTTAACATTCTACTACTCGTCACTTGAATGTATATAGAAAAAGGTGTAAATAATCACAAGTATAAGTTCAAGTATATACGATGTGATATGAACCAAGACACCAATCATGCAATATAAACTATAAAGAAAATGTGAAGAAAATATTGTTCAAATTATAACAAAATGTTCAATTCATGTCACCTTAAAGAAAAATAAAACTTCATTTATTCTTAGGTAGTTACAAAATTTGGGTGGATGATAATTTAGAGTTATGGTGTTTCTTTAATGTATTTAACATTCCATGTAAGAAAAATCTAAAAAACTGTTAGTTAAGACCTCGGAACAATCAAATTGCTGGAGATGGTTAAAATAACCCGCTAAATGATCTCCACTGCTTATGAAATTTTAATACTCCATTAGGCAGTGAAACAAAGATATGGGTAAAAACATTCATCACGATACATACGGCTTTACCTCCCAGGATGACTAACGAGGTATCCATGAAATAAGAGATTCCCCACATGTACCCTTGGTCGCTGACAAGATTCTACGTGCACAAGATCACATTGGGCGATTCCTAAGGAGAACTCTTAAGTTCCAAGCTTGACCAAAGCTTGATCCCACATGTTATAAATGATGTTGGATTTTAAGAGTTATATTTGCACATTAGATGAGCATGTAGCGGCTCTGAGTATGTTGAATTTAGGGTCGTTACGAATGTGATTCTATAATAAGTAAAATATTTTTGGTATTTAATTTCTAACAAAAAAAAAAAAAAAAAATCTAAATAATTACAACAAAATCAAGATAAAAGAAAAAGGAGATGTAAGATTTAATTTATATTAACAAACATTCCACGGACATCTTTCTCGGAACCTCAAACTTCTATCCATCTAAAATATAAATGACTTTTTAGTGAATAATTTTAAATGTTAAAATAATTAATAATTAATTTCTTATTCTAATTAGATCATTATGACTCTATTTCGAGAAAAAAAAACGTTGGATATAAAATTATTAGATGTGATATTTTTTTAGAGTTAAAAGTTTATTACAAATATTTAACAAGTTTCCATATATACCATATAGCTAATCGAGAATATTCATTATCAATATTATTTTGATATATGATAATGACAATAAAAAATAAGAAACAAATATAAAATATTGAAATCAACCTGGCACATCGAGTATAAAGTATGTATTGTCTGTTAATAATCGATTAAAATGTTGTTTTAATCCATCACCAAACATATTGTTAAAGTAAAAGAATTTGACATTTCTCTTATACATATATTTTCGTGTATTATCTTTAAAGTCTTAAATATGTATTGTCAGAAATTTTAGTTTGTTTGACCACTGTTGCCATGATTCGATGGCGGCGCAGGAACACTACCGCTTAAAGAAGTTACAAATGTATCAATTGTCTGTAGTGGTAAAGAAAGAGCAAACTAAGTCGCCGTAAATGGTAGAGCTTAGCCACGGCTACACAAAATTGTCAGAAATCAAAATTGAAACCTTACAAAGGAAATAGGGGAATATTTGTGGAGTTAAAATTTCGAGAAGAGTTTTAGAATATGGAATCTACTCATCCTATGGCTATATATATATATATTATAAAAGAGAGAGGAATGATTTTTTAATGAAATTACAGTCATACCCTTGGAATTTTTAAATAAATTATTTGGCTGTTAGTTGAATTCGACACAAAATCCTAGGTTTTCATGGTCTGGAAATCATGAACAACAGCGAGAAAAAATGCAAACTAGAATGGGTTGAAATTTTATGTGGTCCACAAACATCACAATTTAACAGATGCAGAATGGGTTGTTATTGAACTCTTTGGGAAAGACAACCTAGTTTTTTTTGGTAATGGGCAAATACTACCATTATGAGAAAGAGTAGCATTATTTAGATGCAATTGATTAGCTATAAATTTAAAACGAGAAGGAGAAGGATAACCTAGCCGTAAATGCCACAAATCAAATGACTGAGATACTTGATTTGCCGAAGACTTGATTGGAGATGAAGAAATATGATAGAGACCTCCGAATTGTTTACCCGAGCCAATCATCTTCCCCGTAGCCAAGTCTTGCATAACACAAGATTCAGGATTCGACACAAAAGTATTTGCATGGTCTGGCCAGAATATGGGGTCACTTCCTCATATTTGACCTGAGGACTACATGGATGTCACCATCATAATTTGCATGGAATTCTATTTCCCCTCCCACCCCCAATGTTTGGGAGTTAGTATGGATAGAGGAGCGGTCCTAGATTAGCTTAGGTGGCACAAGAATATCATGGGTATAGATAGACGAGTGACCCTAGATTAGCTTATGTGGCACAAGAATATCATGGGTGGAAACGAGTAGAGGAGTTGCCAACTAATCCCTAGTAGTGAACTAGTTGGATCTAAAATGAGGTCACACCTCGTAAATTGTGATACAATGAGGTCACACCTTGTACCGAACCCTGATAAATAGATGCACTTCAGTAAGTTGAGTGATATGATAGCACGCCTAGATAAGAGCCTTTATTGGACTAGACAATGAGAAACTATGGAAAGCTAAACCAAGTAAAACATTGAAGCCTAAATCGAATTAGAACATAAGAAACCAAAGGTTTGAGCTTTTGTTTGGGTGCTAACAAGAGCTTGTTTAAGCTACCAAATAACTCCATGAATAGTAAAACAATAATTACCTAATATAGATAGGATTTTTTTAGCTTAAAACAAACTAGATTTAAAAGATAAAAACATATATAAAAAATAATAATATAAACGTGAACGAATTACCAAATGACTAAAAAACTGACAAACGTTGACACAAAGTAGAAGAGGCTATAATTTGTAGTTTTCTATAGTACATGCTCTACATCCGTTCCCAAAATCCACCAACTACTAATCCTTACCTGAAAAAATTGTAAAAAACGACTACAAAAGTCAATAATTAGGGTATCCTGCAAGTAACATAGGTAGGTATGAATATAGTAGGACATCTTGCAAGTAACGTGAGAAGGTTTCTGTAACATGGGTAGGTATCCTCCACCCAAAAAAAAATAAAAAAAAAAAATAATAATAATAATAGGAACATGAAACATAACATCATCCAAATAAAACATGGTTAGGATATCTTGCAAGAAACATATGTAAGGTAAACCTGCAAGAAGCATGGACACGACGTCCTACAAGAAACATGTGTAGGGCATCTAATCTTGGCAAGGAAAACATGTGATCATAATGTATTTCATGGTGGAAAGTCTAGGGTGACTTAGGTTATGGTTAGAGTAGAACCTAGTAGTCTTAGTGTCTTAAGACTTGAGTTTTGCTTTTTTTGGGACACACGTATCTTACGTGGTGCTTGACCTTAGAGCGACATCTCATGTTCGTAAGTTCTTTCGTTCTAACTCTAAGGTTTCTTCTCAAAACTTAAGGTACAAGTCACCATGTGAGATTTGTAAGCTCTATTCCGAGCACATAAGCATAACTATATAGGTTTCATATATGATCTTAAGTCATTTAACTTACATACTTAGTAGGGACATTTTTGTAATTTTATCCCTTCGAAGTTGTTTAGGCACTCAACATTCTACTACTCATAGCTTGTGAGTGTATATAGAAAAGGGTGTAAATAATCACAAGTATAAGTGCAAATATATACTATCTGATATGAACCAAGACATCAATAATACATTATAAACTTCAAGGAAAATATTGTTTTAAATTATAACAATTTGTTACCATTCATGCCACTCTAAAGAAGGGTGGATGATAATTTAGACTTGTATTGTGTTTCTTTAATGTATTTCACGACTATTTACATAGTTGTTACGACTATAAAGTATACATAGTGGCTAATTCAGGTCATAAAATATGAAAGTTACCACTCTTAAAATAATTCAGGTAAGGTTAAGGATTTTAATTTTGAGGTTATATAAAGCCATGTATGTTGTCTATGTAAAGTTGACTTGAAAAATTTAGTAAAAGGTGCATTTTTGTTTTCTTTAGCCGATGGC